AGAGAACGAAAACACACGAACTCGAAAAAATGATAACAATCAAGACACACAAAACTGCATTTTAGGTGAAGAAGTTAGTCTAAGAAAAAAATGTTTGGTGCCTCCAAACAAGTAGGTACTTCCGGAAACTTCAAATGTCCAAGTTGGAACAGAGACGGTAACTTCAATTACCTTTTTAAAAATTGTCTGTCGTTTGTGAAAAGTGAGCACTTTCTAGGTATCGAGTTGGTGTGTTTTCGTTCTTTTTGATTCAATTAGGATATATCATTCATTTGCGCAAGCGCAAAATATCGCTATAGGAAAAAGTGGAGACCGAAATCATAAGTTGGTCCGCCATCCTGAGCGTAGCCTCGCGGAGTGCTGGTGAAGTTTTAATTGAAATTCTTTGATGAAGTATTGTGTCGCCGTTAGTCCAATCGCAGAGCTTCGCGACATAATTAATGGAACCCATCCATCCGGCGCTCACATTCACCCGCGTTTCAGTCGCCGGGTTCGGTCGGCATAATGTTCTCGATAAATCTTGATCGATAACTAGCGTTGCAACGATGGGGATTCGTCGAAATCGACCATCGACACGGCGTCTCGAGAATTCGCCGTCCGAATCGTCTCCAATTAGTTTCACCTGGAATCGGCGCTCACTTATTCCGTCGCGCTAAGGAAAAACACCGTATGAACATACGAGAGTTGCCAAATTTCCTTCAATAAAATTTTTATTTTTGAGAAAAGACGTGAATATTCGTCCATTAAATTCTCAGGGGCCATAGGTGAAATTGCGAAAAAAATTATCCGAAAAATTGAGAGGGAAATATTCATGAGTTTACCAGGAAATTCGTGTCTCATCAAAGGAAATTTGGCAACGCATGAAAGTTCATACGGCGTTTTTCCTTGACACGGCAGTAATTGGTGTCATTTTCGCAGATGGCTTCGATTCCGACCACATCAAAGGCGTCTCGCACCTTACTTCAAGTGGAGTTGGAATAATAAACTGTTCTCCCTCTGGCTATTTGTACGTTTTCCAGACGTGTTTTGATTTTTCCGGAGTCTCGGTCGAGGAGAGTAGCGCTTTGCCAACAGATCAAAACGTGGCGTGGTGAGGGTAAAAATGTTCAGAATATCTGTAAAGAATACACGGCCATCGAAGACTTTTACGTTTAGCTTGCTCTTCTTACGCCTAAGGGTGAGGCAAGGGTTTTGGTGTTGACTCTTTTTCCCCCTATTTTTTTCCTTTTTGAAATCTAAATCTATCATTGCTTCGCGAGTACCATTCGCTCCCAAAAACACGTAAATCCGAGGCGATGGGTTCAGAATCGGCCGGTGTTTCAGAATCTTCACCGCAAATTTTTTAAATTTGCAAAGGAAAGAAATCAATGAATTTTATGAAATTTTTCGGTTTTAGCATAATAAAATAATGAAGTGATTTCAGTGAAAGCTCTAATGAATTTCATACAATTTGCTGTAACTAAAATTGATGAAACCTTAGCGGGGATCGTGAGACACAATAGCCATGAAATGCCTCTCTGCACCCATAGCGCTGCAATGGAGATGTTGCATGTGTGAGGAATTTGCGATTTGCCCATTGATTCTAATGTGAAAGTTCGCGAGGAACACGGTGGTGCTTCTGGTTTCCTCTGAAATTATTTCCCAAGCTCTAAAAATGCTCTCAAGTTGAGGCCAAACGGAGGGGATATCCCACGCTATCCTGAGAGTCCACCTCCACATCAAGACAAACTATCCATGCAAAGATAGGGAGTAAATACATCAGCAGTGATGCCGTGTTTTCAGTTATAGAGTCCTCAAAGTAAGTGGCAGCCCTGTCGATGTATTTGCTCCCTATCTTTGCATGGAGAGTTTGACAAAACTGCTGTTGTTGAAATTTGCCTTAAGGTGAACAGTTCAATGGGTTAGAAGGGTTAGTTCTGCATTAGTAGGCACAAAGTTATAACTGAAAAATTCCTGCATTTGACTGCTTTGCAGCATTTAAAAGTCCGAGGGAGAAACACAAGTTTCCCAAGTAAATAGCAGTTAAAGTTTGCCTGCACAGTTGCGTATCTTGAGGAACGATCCACCTAAAACGCTTACATTATTAGTAACGCAAATCATGGCTCTAGAGATTGACCCAATGCCCTTCAGAATATTACATTAGGAATTAACATCATTGAAAACTGAAGTAGTGTGGGGTTTCTTTTACCCTCAAACTGTTTTCTGATGTATACTAAACAATATCAGCTTTCATTTAAAGGCGCATTTTGTCCTGCTGCGTCACACATAGTACCCGTATGGTAGTATTAATAATTTCACTTACGGAAAAGAAGAAAAATATGAAAGACAGAATGACGGACAGATTTATAGTATCGTCTCATCTGAGAACCTTTTTTGTACTTATTAAATACGATAAAATGTGGCAACCATGGAAAAATTGCGCACCCTCAGAAGCGTAGCATCTCAATTTAATAATATTATTACTATTCACTCGGAAGAATGTATTTACTGTACGATATCTAAGGTCATATATGTGAAACATGAACTTAATCCTATTTTTGATGAGTCGACTTTTTTTTTAAAAAAAATAAAAAAATAGGTTTCCCGCAGTTTCCCGCAGCAAAGCTGTAGTGCAAATGAATGTCGAGGATTTAAAGAAAAAGTATCTGGCCCTAAAACTCTAAAGAAACCTAAAGAAAAAACTGCAGAAAGCTTTTTCGATGGAATTTTTAAGATTTATTAGGCACATTTTTTAACAAGCTTTTTGGACAGTTAAAAGTGCGCAATGGAAAAAGTGTATACATCAAATGAAAGCTCTTTCTTAGGAAAAGAAGTCCCAGTGAACAAATTTTTACCCCGCGCAGCCGCTGAACAGTGATAAGGCCTTACACGGTTGCAGTTCAGGACGCGCTACTATATTTTATCCGTGCAGTGTGAGAGGTAGTCAAGTTCCCCCCTCCAATACATCGCTGCTGGGCGATTATTCGATGAAATTTTGATGAATCCTCATTCCTTAGAGAGTCACTTTAACGAATTCCTCATCGTCAATACAATACTGGACACTCATAAAAACGGTATTTTTCGCGTAAAACGGGCCTCCCTGGCCCACAGTGGGAGGACCGGGGTGCCCGTGGGGAGTACCGGGGTGCCCGTGTCATAATGCACTTATAGTTTCGTTTGGCAGAAATTCGTCCAAATATGTTCATAGGGCACCTCTCATGATTGAGGCGGAACCATGCAATACAATGAGTACATTACGACGCTTCAAAATTGTATAGAGATATTATTTTTGTGCAGAAGCAAAATAATTGGTGATCCTTTTATGATCCTGAATGATCCACTTTTTCTAGGGATACATGGACTCATACAGATATATATTCACCGTCCGTCGTAGACGCAATGTGGACGACTTTGATGATTTCGTAAAAATTGGATTTTCGGAAAAGTCTTCCCTGATGGTTAATGTGCCGCAGTTTTTTAAGAAGTTCTAAGGTAGCCATTTTCTCAGTCTGCAACAATCAAATATCACAGCACAACTTTGAAAGAATTTGTCCATTGACACGGGTGGACATCCGTCCATAGACGTCGACATTCGTCCAAAGGCGTGGACATTCGTCCATAGACGAGGACATTCAGAGGGCTTACAAGGGCTTCAAGCTTACAGAGGGACCTTTTGAATTTTTTTAAGATTGTTAGAAATATTGAATTGCGAAATCGCAGAAAAATCGGGAGGAGTCTTGGAGGTAAAAATTTTATCCAGTCCTGTCACAGTCTCGGAGGCATTTGAAGTCACTTGTTAAGTCCTTTGAATCCTTTTAAATCCATATTCTACAAATAAAAGCTTACAGGGGGACCATTTGAATTTTTTTAAGCATGTTAGAAATATTGATCTGCGAAATCGGAGAAAAATCAGAAGGAGTGTTGGAAGTAAAAATTTTATCCAGTCCTGTCACAGTCTCCATCAAAATCGCTAATTCCTCGCACATGCAACATCTCCATTACCCTGGGAAAAAGACGGAAAAACTACTCGATTTGAGACTGTAAAGTCTAGCTCCAATCCCTCTCTTACTTGGCCTCTGACCGTAAACTTTTTCTCACCGAAAGTTTGGTAACTTCACCGTTGACGGGACCCGGAAAAGAATCGGCCAAGTTTGTTCCCGCCGAGCGCACGAAGCCTGCATTAAATTTGGAGGTGGGGCTGGCTGAGGAGCATTAAGATCTGTTGCTCTCTCCGTTCATTTGTTTTATCTTCCCTTTGCTGAGGGGTGAGGATTCGCACCGACGGTCGAGAGGGGGCAAGGGTTGATATGTAGATGCAGACTGATTTATCGGGGGGCCCGATAAAGCAGGAAACACACCAGAAGCAACGAAACTTTAAAAGCTCATAACTCCGTTCATACAACAATTTGTGATTCTTCTAGGAACACTCCTCCAATCTATAATGTGACGAATGAAACATCAAAATTTTCAGTTTTAGTTAAAAAGTTCATGTCCGACCTAATGTTTATGTGGCTTATACGGCGATCTTCAGTAGCCTGGCAGAATAGTGTGGTCTTTTTTGCACCGGTACTGGACGTTAAACGTGGACGACAGTGGCGTGGCGTGAATTGCAATACATTGATTGTTATGCCATTTAAACCTACGGTAAAGAATCGATTATTAAGGTGTTCGCTGCTATCGATCATTTTCTATAGGTTTAAATGCCATACCAATCGATATATCGCAAAGCACGCCACGCCACTGGTGGACGAAACCTAGGCGGAATAAATCTGCCGGCGCACGTCGTGTTTATCGACAGGCGAGACCTTTGTCATTTATTAAAGTAGAGTTTCGGCTTCCGGACGGATCTTATTCATCACTGCTGCTCTAATCTGAAACGATCATAACATGATTTTGTGATTGACGCTTCTGACTCCTACTCTGTTTCCATCAGGGACTTCATAGGATAGATAAGAATCAATTTAATGTCACTGAAGTGCGTTACTAATAATTCCACATTTGAATGTACGTAAATATTGAAATCAAAAGCAATAATAATTTATTAACATGTTCAGAAGTTTTTTATAATCATACTTCTGATACTGTCTTTCTCTAACCACTGATTTTAGGCTTTTGGAGGTTTATAGAGAAACATTTTGAAAGAAAAGGAATGGGGCCCGAAATCCAAGGAGGTAAATCCAGTTTTTTGTTTCTCTATTTTCACCGTCGTCGTTCGGATCCCGATCGATTCGTCTCGCCGAGTTTCCGACAGAATCGCCGCTCTGTCGAGTAGTGCGTCTCACGTGGTATCGTGTCTTTTGAAGGAGCTCCTCATGTTAGGACTCTTGATCTCACTGCTGTCGAATTAGGTTCAAAGGTGATACCATGTCAGTGTTAAAATTAAAACGACTATCTTCGCAGAAGTTTGTATTTAACTAGGGCGAGTTTTTGACAATCATGATTTCTTTTTAATTGGTTTTCTCTTTCTCGGCGTTATCAATTTTCTTAGTTTTCTCTTTCTCGGCGTTTTCAATTTCCTTAGTTTTCTCTTTCTCAACGTTCTCAGTTTCCCTAGTTTTAAACTCTTTCTCAACGTTTTCGATTTCCTTTTTACAGAGAGGGTACAGATCCTTCATTACTGTCATGGTATTTATGAATGGGTCGAACAGCGGCACCAATTTTTTAATGAATTCCGGTCCTATCTCCTCAAGTATAAACCTCATATCCTTCGGAAGGCACCACGGTTCACGGAGCTTGCCTGACCTCCAATCTTTAACATGATTTAACGCCTGAAACATAAAAAAACGTATATCATCAGAAGAAACTTGTGATATTGATATGGGATTTCTTGTACTGTCAAATGAATTCATCGTAAAGGTATGAGTTAATTCACTTGATCTGCCATGATGTAATCTGCGTATGAAAAGTTGCTGATGCAACTTTAGCTTCCTTATTTGCTTGTAAACCACTGAACCACAAGCGTGAAATGGATTACCTTTTGCAATAAGGAACCATGATCTTCGGCTCTTTCATTTAAGCACTTGTCTGCACAGGGAAACCGATAGCATATATGTTGTTTCTTAAATGAGCCAGAAATAGTGGTTCCTTATTGCAAAATATAATCTAAATATTCTAGACCTTGCCTTTAAGGAGAGTTTGCGATAATGGATAATCGAGTAGTCCACGTTTCTGCGAAAATTACGAGTTCCTTAGATCGTCCAGACACACACATTGACGGTGAACTACCAGACCACGTATCTCGTTTACGGTGTCAGTAAATCTCCGCTCCCATTTTATTTTTTGAACAAATCGACAACATTTACTGTTCCACACCGTGCAAACCGAAATGTTCGGTAGTTTCACCGTCTACATGTGTAACACATGAAAAACACTTATTTTTAGATACCCCGCTGATGAGTTTCATGATTGCTGCATAGCTTGTAGAGGCCCTTTACACCGAGAACAAAGGCAATGCGAATCCATATCTGATTGGTTCCCGTATTTTAGGCCTTCACAGTATCACAAACGTGATTAAGGATTACAGTTTCACCAATAGTGAATTTGCATGCACATTTTTTCTTGCTTCATTTGAAAGCGCCTTAAGATCTGATTTCACAGTATTTTGTATAATTTTTTTCTGATTTGAAAAATAGTTTGAAACTATAGATTTAAAAGTAAGAAAATACACTGCCTAGTGACGTAATCTGGCGGCATTTCCCATTTAAACACACGTATTATATCAGATTAAATCATTTTGTCATATTTTCTCCAATAATTGTCCAATTTATGAGCCAAGGGTATCCTCGTCCTCTTCACTCAGTGGTTTTCACTCAAACACGAAATTCATTTTTCAGACACCTGCAACTTCTCAATTGCAAATATTTCAAACTGGAATAAATCATTTTGTCATATTTTCTCCAATAATTGTCCAATTTATGAGCCAAGGGTATCCTCGTCCTCGTACTCAGTAGTTTCCACTTAAACTCGAAATTTATTAAATCAGACACCTGCAACTTCTCAATTGCAAATATTTTAAACTGGAATAAACCGGGGAATAGGACGTACGGCCAGGAACAACTGAAATGTAAGTCCGAACGGAGACAGGAATTCGGGAATGGGTTGATCGAAGACTACAGCAAACGTCCGATTTGTGTAATCTTTATTCCCGTTTGTCACATCCACAAGCCGCGTTGTCTCAACTCCCTGTCAAAAAGGACCCAATGGACCACTAGACAAGGTACGAATTTAAGCAATCTGATACATGTTTCTTAACCAGAATTTCACGTAGAACACGATTCACACTACGAAAATTACCGAAATCAACTTCTAACGAAGATATTAACGTTTTTATTTCGCACTGATTACGAGGAATTTGAACTGTCCGCTCACAAGAAACTCAAAGCTCTACGTGAGTCAAGTCGCGCACTACAACGGTTTCAGCAAGCTTCTCAATCGAGCAATGTTCATTTTTCACCATGTGTTGTTCAAACTATTGGTAAGTTGCTATAGCTGAGCCAAAGTGTCAAGATTGAAGTTGAAGATTTTTACATCGCAGAGACTGTCATGATAAACATTTAGCGCGCGATGTGAATCACGTAGAGCATTGAGTTTTCATGAGCGGGTGGTTTGAATTCACGCATCAAGAATCATTAAATATCTTCGTCAGGAGTTGATTTTGGTAATTTTCGTTGTGCGTATCGTCTTCTACGTGAAATTTTGGTTGTGAAACATGTATCAGAATGCTGAAATTCGTACCTTGTCTAGTGGTCCATTGCTGAAAGTAAAAGCCCACATCAGTTGGACGTTTTTATGCCGAAAGGAACTATGTGCATAGGGTTTGCGTGAGACGCCTAGTTCCTGTTAGACGTTTCTATGCCGAAAGGAACTATGTGCATAGGGTTTGCGTGAGACGCATAGTTCCTATTGGCATAAATATGCTCAGTTTGTCTTACCTTTTCTTTTTGTTTTTGCGTGGCCGTCGAGTGTAATATGTGGATCGCATTGTACATTTCTTGAAAGAACTTCTTAAAGTCCGAGAAACACTTATGAGCATGCTTCAATGCTTCGACAGCTCTCTCTACGTTTTTGTTCTCCATCAACGTATATATCCTTTCAGCTCGCTCGAGGGCTATTCCCCGTGGTTTTTCCAATTCGTTAAACTCCACTATCAGCTCTCTAAAGGAACGTTTCTTCGGTGGCGGGATCGTCGGCGGGGCGGCGCCCATCTGGAAAACATTCAGTCATTCAACAGCATTTTGTTGACTTCAACTTTCGATTTAAGTACTATCTACCTAGCGGGCCGATTATTGAAACTTATAGACAAAGCTATAGACAAAGCTATAGACAAAGAAGACATCGGGAGTATGGAGCAAACCTATTGGTCGAAATAGGTGGTTCCCATTGACTAAGGGAGAAGATAATGGACTAACTGCAGGGTTTCTCGTGGGTTGCCGTTTGTTAGTCCATCACCTATTTCCTTTGTCCATTGCTATAATTTGCTTCCACCATTAGGATCCCACCATATCCCTTTTGTCCTTGTTGTCTATCAATTTCAATAATCAGCCTGCAGGTGCGCGTAGGGACTACGATCAAGCAGGTCGAATTGAAGCCCAGTGGGTCTATTGTAATCCCCAGCCGAAGCGGAAAGTAGAGTTGTTTCCTGTAGAAAATGACTCTGAAAGAACGACGAGCTCGTCCAAAAAAAAACTAAAATACACTCCCAACTTAGCTGTCTGCGTCAAGAAATTGGTTTTTTTAAGCCTCCCGCTTCAAAACCGATACTATGGCACAGGTAAACATTTCGCAAGAAGATATCAAATCCTTGCGCATGCCGCGCTTGACGAAACGGTATTATATCAATCAACGTATTTATAATTATTTGAATTTTCCTTGCGTTTTTATCAACGCATGGTGTCTCCTCTCAATTTTCGCGCGGAAACGTCACACTATGGTCCCAATCCGCTCGGGAGTGCTCAAAAATCGATATTTATGAAATTGGACGACATTTTTATTTCAAGTCAAAATTGATAAATATAGTATCTACGGGTCATGAACTACACGTAGTATACCTCAAAAAAATTTCTCGTCACTTTGAAAGTGTCACAAATTGTGCGAATAGTCAGATATGTATTTTCTGACCCGTGAAATGGCTATTTCTAACAAAGCGTTCGGAGCCTCTCCTGAATCATGAAATGGTCTCTCAGAATTTTTGCTTATGAAGCAAGTTTCGGCGTGTTTTGTTCGATGTGCGGTGTTCTGCGCCAGCAAATTATGTTTTTCCTTTTGAAAGACTTTGGATGCCTTGGCGCCTCAAGAAATTCTAATGTAACTTGATATTCCGATGAGGCCAGGATTACAGTCTCCCAATGTAACGGAGATGCGTTTTTTTATGAATTTTGGTGCAAAGCCGTTACGATGATTAAAAAAACACCTGTTCTTCATTTTATTTCATCTAATAGCCGAAAGTTTCATTCAAATCCCGCTATTTTGATTCCGTGACACTGAGGAATCACCCCTTGAGGCTCTCATTTCACAAGACAGCATTTTTTTGAAAAATATCAACAAAGATCACATGTTTTTGCTGATTTGTTCGGAAATATAATTTTTTTCTCCCCCCTTGTCTCACAGTATTGCAAAAGTAGCTCCAAAGGCAGTTAACTGGAAAAAAGAAATTTATCGATTTATTATTTTGATTTTAGGTGTCGTTTTTTGTCGACAAAATTTGGTTTTTTGAGGGAAGGGAACATTGCTTTGCCATCGTTCAGTTTCAGTTACCCAAACAGTAACAAAACTATGTTTCTTTAAATTATCAAGAAACAACGCTTTAGGTGAAAATATCTCATGTAAATCTGTTTTCAGTGTCCCCTCAGTAAATTAATCACGCCGGATAAAATACATAGTGCACCTCTTACCTCAGTTTTTATATGCCCAACTAAACACGCCACACAAAATAGAATCAAGTAATCCATTGTTGAAATCACTATTAGCCGTAACACAGTGTCGGTTCTTACAGAAGTGTCAAGATAATGTCAACGTAGGTTCAATATTTTATTAAAGTTAAAATTTAGTGCACTTAATGGATTTAAAACACGATCAATTTCGGAGCGAAGCAGTTATTATAAAGTTAGCCGAGGTAATCTGACCTGCATTCACAAGAGAATCAGTTTCGCCTTTGAGATTATTTTACTTTGTAATGTGTATCTGCTAGTCGATAACGCATACTAATCTAAACCGTTATCAGTCCATTATTTCGTGCATGGCTAGCTTTTGCCAGTACGTCGAATAATGACGCTACACACTCATTTATTCGATTCTTTTAAGTTCCCGTCGAGCGGAGCAAGATGACACCGAACATTATCAGCCCCCAGTTCAGCGTCGAACTTGCGATTTTGGGGGAGTTTATGGGAGCGAAATTTTCAACACTATTTTTTTCAATCCCCTTTTTTCCCGTTTTTAGTCGAGGCAGCTCTCATCAACTCAATTGGTTTCACATTCATCTAAAGAAGAAAAAACGGTGGTGCTATAATATACAAATTTTCTTATTTTCCTAACTAATATGTAGTCCTGAATTTTCTCATATAAGCACGTACGCCCCATGGCTGGAGGGTCGGTAACACCTTGTCCATTCGGGACTATCTTTCAATACAATTTTACACTCATTTGCACGTAAAAATATTAAAATACGGACGCCGGACGCGTTTCGCCGTCTCGCAACTCCGGCGGTGTTCGCGCGGCAGTCACGCTGAGGATGCCGGAGTTGCGAGCCGGCGAAACGCGTCCGTCGTCCGTATTTTAATATTTCTACGTGCAAATGAGTGTAAAATGTTATCGATAATTTAGCTGGCGCGGGTCTCCAAGCGAATCTTCAAGCCTACCTTTGTTGACTCCCAAGTTATAATCTAAAGTAAGGAACATCTGTGTGCGTCAAAAAATAAGATTTTCACGTGTTTAAATTGAATTTCTTGCCTCGGACCTCACAACCACATGGGCGCTGATATGACGCGCCAGAGATTAGACACCGTCCAACTGACTGGTGCACGGAAGAAAAGATGAGATCGCTCCTGCGTCGAGTTCGCCTGCAAATTGGACTCCCACTCCTTGTCCAGGAGAATGGCTATAATCTATTATAGTATACTAACCCAGTTTAGGATACTTAGGGTCGACTCAGAGTTCAATCTTTTTTTTCGTACTTACTATCTTAAAATTAATAAAATTGACTAAATCATTCAGGACATCTAAAACAATAGGGTATGGTGATAAGGATTGGTGAGGATTAACAATTTCTATATTCAAGAACAATTTAAAGGAGTAGGATTCAACGACGATTTCATACATGTGGAGTTGATTGTAAAGGACCAAATCGGGTCTTTGTGAACGACAATAATTCTTCATAACAGTGTTGTAAAGAACACTAATATCACGGTATAAATAGAAAAGGGGTAGGGGGGCGGAGGGTACCTCGAAAATTTCAAATGGCCACTCCCCTCATGGCCAGTGGTGCGTGACGCCAGAGAGAGAATGTCTGGCCAACCAGTCACCCCCAACCACTTGCTCCGGTACCTCGGGGTCGCCAGCCCCCTTGGGGGCCCCCCGTTCAGCACAATGTGCTGTCCGTGAGGGCTGCTCCGGTACCTCGGGGTCGCCAGCCCCCTTGGGGGCCTCCCGTACAGCACAATGTGCTGCCCGTGAGGGCTGCTCCGGTACCTCGGGGTCGCCAGCCCCCTTGGGGGCCTCCCGTACAGCACAAGGTGCTGGCCGTGAGGGCAACTATCAACCTCTGTGTATTGATCACGGCTTCCGTGCAATATTTCCAAACCACTTGGATGTCTGATTCAACGATTTCGTAGTGGAACGGGACCATGACAACTCTTGCTTAGTCTTTTCATCGTACCGGCGAATGTGTTCATTACCTCGGATGAATGGGCGATTCGCCCTAAGAACGTCGCAGAATTGGCGAACTGGCACGCGGTTAGTCTTGCCGCAGCCTCACGGTGCACTATCTCCGACGGCCACCATCCTAGCAAGTTAGGGGTAGGTTCACCCCCTGCCGGTGTCCATGGCGCAGGAAGCGGATTCCAGCCTACTGTAACCTGGTTTGCTTGCGTATCCGCAGCAATCTGTTCCAAGGACCTACGAGTTACCAATGGTGATGGGGAACACTCGTAACTATTGTGATGCGACAGGCGTTCAGGCGCCATCAGCCCTTCATCGAGCACCTCCTCTTCGTGTGCTTCTTGTGCGGGGAGTTGTTGAAGATCGACGTTGACTTCTTCTGCGATTGGTTGTTGCAGATCGACGACTTCTTT